TTTTACACCAAATAAGACAAACTGAAATAAAATTATCCCAATATTTTGGCCTATTTTTTACTTTTTTGTATTAATTCTAAATGTCAAAATCAACCTTTTTCTTTTTTAATCCATCCTCCTCTCAATATATCTAGCTTCAATAGAAATATTCAAGATAAGCTTTAAAATTGTGTGGAAAATTAATCTTAAGTCAACAAAATAGTAAAGCCACTTAACTAATAGCACTACATTCACTTAGCAAGTGGTAGAGGAAAGCAAGACACATGTATGTTGTGGAACATATTTTCCTTAACTCCAGGTTCCATCTGAACTAAGCATTTGGTGTCGTAATGCTTGTTCCTAAGATCTGGTCTTAGATAATGAAAATAGACTACGTGAAGATTTGGTGCTCTCTCTGTCTCTCTCCTGGGTGAATCTGCAATGTGTGTGTGTGGTGTGTGTGTGAGACGTGCGCGCGCACACACACACACATGCTCAAGTGCATGCACATATGTATCTGTGTGTATTGGGAAGAATGATATTTCCTCTGAGACAATACACTCTCCCAACACTAGTTAGAGATAATTAGCTAAGAAAATTTTTGAAAAGAAAGTTTTACTCCATAGGGTAACCAGAAAAGGAAGTATCCAATTCTATTTCAATTCTGAAATCCATAAGGAGTTCTTCCTTTTCTCAAATTGGAATCCTTTGATCCTTAAGTGTTCCCTGTGCTAAGTGTACATCAAAGATCAACACAGCTTCCCTTATGCTGCTTCTCATCTGGCTCCTTATCTGGAGCTGGGAGGTGGGATATGGGGAGGGTACCTTGTAGCTAGACCTCAGGTGGTGTAACCACTGTGTGCTCATCAACATTCTCTCTCCATCTATTCAGATTCAGCTTTGCTATGTCTTGTTATCCCTTTTTCTTTCGAACTTTTTTATAGATTTCCTAAATGTGATCTTTCTCTTCTCCTTGTCTACACTCTGGTCATCCCACTTGGACTTCCAAGTGAAGCTCCAAGAAAGAGAAAAAACTATGGACATGGCATTTCTGAGGTTGCAGTCAAAGTTGGTAAGTTAATGATCTTGTATAAGGAGAAATGTGACCTACACCTCTAAATTACCCAATGATCTGGGGCTTTCCTAAAAACCTTAGGCTATGGCCATGGACAATTAAATTTTTATGGCAATACTTTACAGTTTAGCTATCTATGAACTTTATTTAGGTATGCTTGGCCAAATTTTTAAAATTGTTTAATATCATGCATAATGTGAGGAAGCTAGAGAGAGATTTTGAGCTCATTAATGAAATTATTACCAAAAAATGAACTTAAAAAGTAGTAGGATCTACTAATTGAATTTTTTTTTTTTTTTTTTTTTTTTTTTTGTAGAGACAGAGTCTCACTTTCTCGCCCTCAGTAGAGTGCTGTGGCATCACACAGCTCACAGCAACCTCCAACTCCTGCGCTTAGGCGATTCCCTAGCCTCAGCCTCCAGACTAGCTGGGACTACAGGTGCCCGCCACAATGCCCGGCAAATTTTTTGTTTTTGTTGTTGTAGTTTGCCGGAGTTTGAACCCGCCCCCTTTGATAGATGGGGCCGGCGCCCTGCCCACTGAGCCACAGGTGCCACCCTGATTGAAAAATTTTAAGAGTAAAACTATTTCAGTCCTGCAGTGCATGAGAATATATTGAATAATGGACATCAGTAATTTTGAGTGGTGAGACTTTAAACTCCAACCTGAGAGTCAATGAAAGAAAAAGAACATTTTTCTAGGTTTTCTATGGCTTTGCATTTACCTCATTTTCCATTTGGCAAAGAATGAGCAACTTGTCTAGCTATGAAGTGCCCATACCTTTCTTAGCTCTGGGACTTGCTTATCCACTACTCCAAATATTCTAAGCAATAAATTTCCATTCTGGCTCTTTATAAGCTAATTAGGTAATAATCAATAGTGGAGTATTCTTCAGTCCAATTTTTTTAAATAGTGTGAAATTTTCTTGTCTGGTCAAGAATGCAGACACCACAGAGGATATACAAGATTGTCTTGTTTTCCAAAACAATAGGAACACATTTAAATGCCAGAATTGACAAATTATATCACTATGATTAAATAATTAATGCGTATGGATTCTGTGAGAAAACTGTCATATCACTGTGTTTATAAGCCATTTTTCTGGGTTCAAACAAGGATAGACACATTCACATAGCATTTGAATAATATTCTTGACAAATAGAGATGTTAGCCATTAGTTATAGCCATAATTCTATAAATGGAAGAATACAATCCTCACAAAGGAAAGGTTTGGTAAGGAAGAGTAATGATTGAATTGATGTGACAATATGAGGAGAAAGGACAGTGAACAGATGATTTAAGCACCATGAAAATGTTGGATTCATGAGGATAAAAAACAGAAAGAAAAGAAAAGAACTTGGATTTGTATTCGATTTTATGGTCAATGAGTATTCATATACATACGTATAAGTAATAAGGAAAATTCTGTGTATAATAACCATGGAAAAAGGCATTCATTGTCAGTCACAGTCACCTTGCACTTCCTTTCGGTACGGACAGGTGAGGCCAGGCCGAGGCTCATTCTAGCTCATTCTGTGCCCAATGAACTCAAGGGTTCATACATCCTGCTGGGCAAATTTTAACTATACTTGTCACTTTCTGAGTAAAAATGTGGTTTGTCTACATCTTTGCCTGTAATATCATGACAGCTACCTACTTATCTTATTTAATTTATAAGCAATAAGACTTATATTAAATTGCGTGCCACAAATCAAAAGACATAAATTGCAGCCCCAACTTTATGACTCATTTAGTTTTGATATGCAGATTTGGTATAATTACTGTGCTGCTCAACTCTACAGTTAGAATTGTGATGGATGGAGTGATACCTTGAGCAGAATCACTGGGGATCTAGTTAGTTCCACGTACCAGCTCCGTGATCAGGGGCAGGTTATTTCATCACTCTCTTAGCCTCAGTGGCTTAAGCTATGATGTTGAATAGTAAAACTGCTGACCTCCTAGGGCTTCATTGAGAATTAAGTGAGGTAAACTGTATCAAACACTTAAGATTAGGGCCTAGCTAATAAGAGGTACATACGTTAGTTACATTAATATTTAAATAACTTATAATTAGTGATTTTTATTATTTTTCAACATTTAAAACATAGGGTGGCATCTGTGGCTCAGTGGATAGGGCGCCGGCCCCATATACCAAGGGGGGCAGGTTCAAACCCACGAAACTGCAACAAAAAAATAGCTGGGCATTGTGGCAGATGCCTGTAGTCCCAACTGCTCAGGAGGCTGAGGCAAGAGAATCGCCTAAGCCCAGGAGTTGAAAGTTGCTGTGAGCTCTGATGCTACAGCACTCTACCGAGGGTGATAAAGTGAGACTATCTCTAAAAAGAAAAAAAAAATTTTTTTAATATATAGAAATTTACAAAGTCTCACAGGAAAACCACATATGCTTTACAGTTTAGATAGTAGCTCTTGCTTTAGATACATATGTTCTTCCAACTATGTTTAAAGAAATCAACATTATAGATATAAAGTCTCAGTCTTTTACCCAGTTTCCTCTGCAGAGGCATCTACTATCATCAGTTTTGTATCTACCCTTTCAGTTCATTCATGTATCCCTATATGTTCTTTCTTAACCATTACATAACATCATTTTTTAAAATTTCCATTTTACAAGAAGTGGAGCAAAAGCCCTTACTAACAATGCTGCTTGATTATAAGCATTGTTCCTCATTTATCAAATCAAAGGATTGTCTGTCCACCTAGATATTATCATATTGTCCCATCTATAGAAGCTTGTTGCAGCCTCTGGAGTGATGACTGCAACAATCCTTTAATTTTCAATAAATTTTGAAGTTCTGATGTCCAAAATCTTAAAGCTATTGTTGGGAACATATGCCACAACATAATTTAGTTACGGCAAAGCATTCTTAGAGCAGTGGATGTGAACCCTGTTTTGTGCCCTATGTACCTGAGAAATACAATACACTTCCCTTCAATGAAAGTCACAACTCTATTACTTTTACTAAAAGCTTAAGAAAATATCAAAAAATATTAGTAAGGAGGACTCTGCCTCTAGCTAAACTACATTAGATAGTATATTCATGCTAGGACATAAAATGGCCACCTAATAATTATACAAGTAAAATATCTTAGAAGATATAAAATCTTTTTGTTCTACAAGATCTAAAGAGACAGCAAAATAAAATATTCAATGTAGGCTATCTAGAAGTGGAGCTTTTTGTGAGAATAAAATGTGGATAAGAAGAAGGGAAAGGCTTTTAAAAGAATTCTGGCTACTAGTTGCATCGGGACTGACTTCTGGAAATTACTTCTATCTTTTCATTTTTATAAAAAAACATTCTCGACATCAGAAAAATGTTGATGCAAAATATGATTTTATCATAGGGGATTTGGATAGGTTGGGGTAGAGGGGATACTTAGGTAATGACATATGCCGTTTATTATTATCTTGTCTGATGCGCATAAGCCAAGGTCATGTTCCAGTAAATAAAACAGATGGAGTCAGAAGTGTAGACATAAACAACAATGAGGTAATCTTCCTAAAATTTTCTTGATCACTTGTACCCTGCTGAGTTTGGATATAACTTTATGTTTCCCAGTGTTGATGAGACAGTATTTAGAAAAGATTTCACTGATCCATATATACAAGGCATTATTCGTATCATGTGTTATGTATGGGTAGGAAAATTTGCTAATTCCCCATTTTAAAAAAAGTGGAAAATGCTGAGTGTCCAGTCCCTTGTAAAATAATCTGCTTTTGAAAGTAATTTTTTATATCATGCCAAAAATGTAAAATGTTGGCAAATAATCACAGCCAGAAGTCTAAAAAACTCTCAATATTATTGAAATTTTGGGTCAAGCATCCACACATCCAAAGAAGTTTTATTCTACCTTTTACCAATAATTCCATTTAGAGAGAGTGTATCTATGCTCTTCACAGATGCTAATCTTTCTCCCAACAGGTGATATGTGGTTACAGGTGATGGAAAAGGACAATACAAGTTCTTTTGAAGGATTCATCTTGGTGGGCTTCTCTGACCGTCCCCACCTGGAGCTGATCCTCTTTGTGGTTGTCCTCACCTTTTATTTGCTCACTCTTCTTGGCAACATGACCATCATCTTGCTTTCAGCTATGGATTCTCGGCTGCACACCCCAATGTATTTCTTCTTGGCCAACCTCTCATTCCTGGACATGTGTTTCACCACAGGCACCATCCCTCAGATGCTGTACAACCTTTGGGGCCCTGATAAGACCATCAGCTATGTGGGTTGTGCCATCCAGCTCTACTTTGTCCTGGCCCTGGGAGGGGTGGAGTGTGTCCTCCTGGCTGTCATGGCATATGACCGCTATGCTGCAGTCTGCAAACCCCTGCATTACACTGTCATCATGCACCCACGTCTCTGTGGGCAGTTGGCTTCAGTGGCATGGTTAAGCGGCTTTGGCAATTCTCTCATAATGGCACCCCAGACATTGATGTTACCCCGCTGTGGGCACAGACGAGTGGACCACTTTCTCTGTGAGATGCCAGCACTAATTGGCATGGCCTGTGTAGATACTATGACCCTTGAGGCATTGGCTTTTGCCTTGGCAATCTTTATCATCCTGGCACCACTGATTCTCATCCTCATCTCTTATGGTTATATCGCACGAGCAGTACTGAGCATTAAGTCAGCTGCTGGGCGAAAAAAGGCCTTCAACACTTGCAGCTCCCATCTTATTGTTGTCTCTCTCTTCTATGGTACAATCATATACATGTACCTCCAGCCAGCAAACACCTATTCGCAGGACCAGGGCAAGTTTCTTACTCTTTTCTACACAATTGTCACCCCCAGTGTTAATCCCCTAATCTACACACTGAGAAACAAAGATGTTAAAGAGGCTATGAAGAAGGTGCTAGGAAGGGGCATGCAGAAGCATAATAAGGGGTAGTTGAATTTTGGAATTGCCTTTTAACCCATCTTTTATATATGTTTTTAGAATTAGCAAATAAGTAATCGTTCTGCCATTACAAACTGAAGAGGCCCTTAGTGAGATGGAAAAATCAATAGTTTACCTAGGTCAGGACAATGTAACAGTCCTCCTAAGTTAACAATCACTGATGTCCCTCTCAAGTCCCTCTTAAGTCCAGCATTCTTCACCAGGAGGGCTGCAACCCGGGGTGAAAAAGAGATCTACACTTGCAAAATACCAGCTGTAAATCTAGACACCAGGCATTTTTGTTCCCATGTCAACTTATAACAATGATTTATACTTAGTAGGTCCTCAATAAATACAGAAAAAAGATCTTAGAAACACTAATTTTTCCCAGAGAGTTCAAATGTGCTTTTATAGTGCCAAATGCCCAAATAAATGGTTCAATTATCTAGTTTTAGTACCTCAAACACCATAATTCTGCATAAATATGCATAACTCTGCATATTTTGAATCATTTATGTAAAATGAGTTTAATTACATTTATATTTGACTTTCTGTGTCAATAGGAAATGAAGAAGAAAGGAGGCCATAAGGTACTTGCTTTATAGAAAAGGGAGGATTTATTGCTCTTGTTAATGACAAAAGAAGGCTAAGGGGTCTTCTGGCTAAAAATGTGTAAAGATTATTTAATCTCCACTTTTTCAAATGTTATCACGATAGCCTTGAATGGAGGCAGAGAGAAATGAGATGAACTCTGGGAAACTGTTGGAATCTTTATGAGTGGGTATTTTCTGGATGCTCATTTCATCATATTTACCAATAGTCACATACCAAAGAGCGAGTCAGGACCTAACCCCTAATGAAGCAGTTTTCACACATCTGGTTAAACTGAACAACAGAACATGAGAAAACAAACTTGCACTGGGGTCAGTCCCTGACAACCCCCTCCACCATTGGTATGTAGCTGCTTAAAATGGCGATACCTCATCAGTCACAATGGACGTTGACTTGGTTTATGTTAAATGAATGAATGTCCATCTTAAAGGCAAACATGTTTCTTCAGAATTGACATATCATTTGGATGAATCTGATCTCAAAATTTGGGGTATATTAGGTATATTAGGATTTCTGCAAGTGGATAAGGATTCCAAACCTTGGAACTATTACCAGTAGCATCATTAGGAACTGGATAAAAAATAAATTTAGCAATTAATCACTTAAGCTACTCAAAAATTTTAAGAAATGTTGGGTTAATCTAGAGGCCCAAGAAAATATACCATACACTTAATAAATTTTTCTCAAAACATATCATTGTCAGATGCAATGTGCATATTTTGCTATGCATAACTGCTATGCATATTTTTTGAACATTAACTCCTGTATCTGTATAGATATATTATATTATATCTTATTTATGTCAGTTAGAGCTTACAAGAATAAATTTTGAATTCAGTTTTTATTATGAAAGCTGGAAGGCAGTGATTATTTCCACTGGAAGGCAGAAAAAATAGAATATATTTGATTATTTCTACTTTATTACACTGGGTAAGACAGGATATTTGGCCATGATATTGTTTATTAAAGGGATTATTAATGCACCCAATATTCAGAATTTGGAGATTTGTGTCTTAGCCTTTCCCATCTCTTTTACTAAAAAAAAAAAAAAAAAAAAACTTATGGTATGGGTTATACTGTCATAAAAATATACTATACATTCTAAATAAATAAAAATCCTTTAGAATCATTCTCTAGAGAACAAGATTACAATAAATTTCATATCATTTCCATACTGTTTTTAATGCATTACATTAGAATTAATATCTTAAAGTAGGGGCAGAAGATTAAGAGACAGAGCATAAATCTCAATCCATAGTATGGGCGTAGTGGCTCACACCTGTAATCCTAGTACTCTGGGAGGCCAAGACCACTGGATTGCTTGAGGTCAAGTTCCACACCCTGTCTCTAAAAACTAGCTAGGCATGTGGTGGGTGCCTATAGTCCCAGCTACTTAGGAGGCTGAGGCAAGAGGATCACTTGAGGCAAGAGGATCACTTGAGCCCAGGAGTTTGCTGTGAGCTATGACACCACAACACTATACCAAAGGCAACAAAGTGAGACTCTGTCTCAATAAAAAAAAATCCTATCTCAGTGGGTAGGGCGCCAGCCACATACACTAGGACTGGTGGGTTAGAACCTAGCCTAGGCCAGCTAAAACAGCAATGACAACCACAACAAGCAAATAAATAGCTGGGCGTTGTGGCAGATGCCCGTAGTCCCAGCTACTTGGGAGGCTGAGGCAAGAGACTTGCTGAAGCCCAAGACTTTGAGGTTGCTGTGAGCTGGGACACCACAGCACTCTACCCAGGGCAACAGCTTGAGACTCTGTCTCTAAAAAAAAAAAAAAAAAAAAAAAAAATCCTTTATACATACATTGATTTTGAAAGTTCTTTTGGAATTTCTGACTAACTTTCTCCAAAACTTTATTTTTTTTCCACAACAAGCTTTATGTTTCATCGCACTTTCCTCCAAAAACCTTAGCACTTTATTACAGATTGTAGGGAAAAGTAAGTATCAGAACTCAGGAAAAAAAAATGTCACTATGTCCTTAATAACATTGTCATGGCCCAGCATCACCTTTAACTTAGTTTATATAGTTTATGTAGTTTACTTACATAGGTATAAAGTAGACTCAACCATATATATTCTAATCGTTCTGCTTTTTCATGTGAATCACATGGTACTGTTCCTAAAAAAATAATAAACATTTCATTTTTATTCTCTGTAGAATCTTCCTTTTGTTAATTTATGACTCAGTCTTATAGATTTGTCTTTTACATAGACAGAGCAGATGGAGGTGTGAATAGAAATAAGCATTAGTATTCTACCCACTGTGCACAACTGCATATCTCTTAGCTATGGGACTTAAACTTCCTCCAAGAGAAATAAATATTACATATACACTGCACTAATCTGGCTCTACTATGAAAATCCATATGAGTCTGTTCAACAAGAAAGAGATTCTCCCAAAGTCAATGTGTGATGAAAAACTTGAGTCATTGGGCCATTCTTTTCTGAAGATTGTGTTGTTAATGGTGATACCTATTTAGAAATGCTGCAAAATTACTTTATTCCTCAGCTTGAACAATTAGGACTAATAGAGAATATAGTGTTTCAATAAGAAGACTTGCAAGCTAGGATAACTAATGTGATTGCTGGTATTACTGAAAATCAGCTTGAAAATATTTTCCTAGAACTACAGAATCACATTATCCTTTGTATTAGTAATGATGGTATATGTACTGAAAATTAAGAACAATACAAAATGTGTTTCTTCTTTCTAATCCTTTTTACGGATTCTATAACATATACTTAACAAAGTTACAACTGTTTGAAATTGCACACAAACTTTACGGACACCCTGTATAGAGAAGGGCAAATGCCAGAAGAGAAGAGAAGTTGGGAGGACATAAAGCAAAGTGTTAATGGTTCTGGAAACGTCTTCACTGGGTCATTTGCTTTTCTGTTCTTTTTAGTCAACATGTATTGCTTTTGTAGTGAGAATTGTTTAATTGAAGAAGTGAAATTATGATATAGTACATTCTTAGAGTTAATTTTGAGTGTAATTAATGTAATTTTTTTATTTTAAATTTTGTGAATCAAATGAATTTATTATCTACTTGTCTAATAAAATTTTGCTTATATTATAAAACAGAACTACTTAAAAAAAAAAAAACTTGATTCATACCTGGCCAGCAGAGGGCAGTAAGAAGCTGTCAGTGAAAAATAGGAAGATGGGATAGGTAAGAAGCACTGACTGTGGTGGGTTCTCCACTGTGTGTGGCGTCATGGCTCACAGCAATCTCAAACCCTAGGGCTCAAGCAATCCTCTTGCCTCAGCCTCTTCAGTAGCCGGGCTACAGGTGCTGCCACAACACTGGACTTTTTTTTTTTTTTTTTGGAAATAGGGTCTTGCTCAGGCTTGGCTCAAACTCCTGAGCTCAAGCAATCCACTCACCTCAGCCTCCCAGAGTGCTAGATTACAGGCATGAGCCACCACGCCCCACCTTTGGATTTAGTTTAATAAAAGTCTCCAATAATAGTAATACCTCAAAAAAGACCTAATTAGCCTTGCTTTTAGACATTTCAATTTTAAGTGCTTAATTTTTTTTTGAGACAGAGCCTCAAGCTGTCACCCAGGTAGAGTGCTGTGGCATCACAGCTCACAGCAACCTCCAACTCCTGGACTCAAGCGAGTTTCCTGCCTCCGCCTCCCAAGTAGCTGGGACCACAGGCGCCCGCCACAAAGCCTGGCTATTTTTTGGTTGCAGCCATCATTGTTGTTTGGTGGGCCTGGGCTGGATTCGAACCCACCACGTTAGGTGTATGTGGCTGGCGCCTTAGCCATTTGAGCCACAGGCACCGAGCCAAGTATTTAAATTTAAAGGACATTGGAATTTTCTAAATTGAATAACTACTTCTAATTAGTGATCATTGTAAGTTGTTGAATAATAGCAATACCAATTAGAATGTAGAAACTACTGTTGGGCATTGGTTGTTTTTCATCTTCTTTCAAAGGTTACTAATTTTGCTTCATTGCAATGTATAATTATGAGATAAGAATCAGGTTATAAGTACTTAAACAGTTCATTCTCAATAAATGCCTACAATAAACTGTAACTTTGAAAAGTCAAAAAAAATTAACCCCTCTCTTTCTAAAAAGCCAGGGACACTTCGAATTTCTACTCATAATTTATGAGTAATCTTTTCCCTCTGGCAACATTAAGAGTAGGATTTACTGCTGTTTACTTATTTTTAATCTGGTAAGTGACTTATTAACATTACTTCAGTATATTTCCTTAAATATTTGAGCATTTTTAATGTCTTATAGATGGACTATTCTGAGTTCAGAGTACATAGTTTGTTCCTATTATTTGGTGAAAATTGTGTGATTTGTATTTTTCTTGGACTTTGTGAAAATTCTTTATATTATGGATGTGAAGATTTCTCATAACTATAAATATATTTTTCCCTTACTCACTGAAAAGTTGATCCAACTACATCTTAGAAGATATACAAACTAATCCTGGGTAGATGAAACTGTAAAAAATATTAATCTTTTTTCAATCTTGCAAAATAAATCTAGAAAACTACATTGACCTGAGGGACAACTTCTTAAGTAAGCCTAGAAATGCAAAATCTATGAAAGAAGAGAGAACTATTTGGCTATATACTTTAAAAAAAAACACTTTATGTTAACAGAGGTAATAAGAATATTTCTATGTCAAATTAAGTAGGAATCTATTTTATTGTATAGATGTTGACCTCAGATAGGATTTCAGAGCAAATAGACAATTTTCTTTTCTGCAGCTTCACAGAACTTGTTCAGTAGCTTACAAAAGGAGACTGATAAAATCCATACCTTATTTAATAAGATATTTTAGTCCCTATTGTCTTTCTCTTTTGTCTTGGAAAAAAGTTGAGGAAATAATCCCCAGAGAAAGGGTATTATGAAACAAATCTAAACAAAAATGAAACAACATTTCACAGAAATCTTTTCCTTCTCTCTTCCCATTAGGTATCATGGTTAGTTACCATAAATCACATGAGGATTGTTACCATCCCTGGTAAGTTAGGGCACACACTAACGTTAATAAAGTTCCCTGTCCTTCTCATTAATTTTGCAAACCTAGTGAGCAGAATTCTGGAAAGAGCAATAAATACCTTAACATTTTGCAATATGTTGCCAGAAAAACATATCTGATCATCTGCAATACTTTATTATTTTTCTCATACTTTCTGAGTTAATCAAAAATGGAGATCTCATAATTTGCCACTTAAAGAGTGGAACAAGGGGCTCGGCACCTATTGCTTACTGGTTAGGGTGCCAGCCACATACATCAGGGCTGGCAGGTTCGAACCTGGCCCAGGCCTGTTAAACAACAAAGACAACTATAACAAAAAAATAGCCAGGCATTGGTTGTGGTGGGTGCCTGTAGTCCCAGCTATTTGGGAGGCTAAGGCAAGAGAATTGCTTAAGCCCAAGAGTTTGAGGTTGCTGTGAACTGTGACACCACAGCACTCTACCGGGGGCAACATAGTGAGACTCTGTCTCAAAAAAAAAAAAAAAA